AGGAAGCCAAAATATCCACCATTTGGTCATTTACAAAAAGACTGTCGAAGCCCTGTTCTAGAGTATTAAAGTAGCATCAATATTTAGCATATAACAGGTACAACCATATTTATGTGAATATTTATGTGAATTAGTAGACTACTTACTAACAAATTAAGACTTAAATCATGGGAAAATTACTGACAACAGGAAAACTATGAATGTGTCCAAGACAGTCACTGTCTTCAAAGTTTACCATAATATGGGATAAGCTTTATTGTGATAAATACAAGACAGGAGTGTAGGAAGCTAGTAGTATACAGTATCCTGAGATTCAAAGGATAAAAAAATTGCACCTAGTCTGTGGCACAACAATGGGTTCAACATAGAGTGGCAAACAATAGTTAGAATAGAGGAAAAAAAAAAAACAGGTGCAGTGGTGCCACGTCTGTAATCCCAGCACTACAGAGGCTGTGCAGGATGACTGATGTGCATTTGATGCTAGCCTGGGCTACACAGTGAGTCTGAGGCTAGCCTGAGTTCAAGGCTGGTGTAGATTAGTCTAGACTTTATCTCAAAAACCAAAAAAAGGGAGAAAGAGAAAAGTATGCTTCAAGTTGGTTCTGCATTTTCTGTTTCACTGATCTTCGAGTCTTTTTTTTTTTCTTTTTTGCCAGTGCTATGCTGTTCTGTCACTTTAACTTTGTAGTGTATAATTTCAAGTCAGAGATGTGATGTCTCCTGCTTTACCTTTGTTCCCTAGAATTGCTTTTGCTACTCTGTCTCTTCTGGTTCCAAATGAATTTTAGGATTGTTTTTCCTTACTTCTGTAAGGAATGCTACTGCTATTGCATTAAATTTTTTACAGTGGAAATACACTTTCATTATACGACTGGTTCAGCCTATCGAAGAACAGGGAATATCTTTCCATTTTCTGATATCCTTTTGATCTCTTTTTCAGAGTACTAGAGTTTTCAACACAGAGGTCTTCTACTTCCTTTGTTAGATTGATTCCCAATATTTCATTTTTCTTGATGCTATTGTGAAAGGTGCTGCTTTTCTAATTTCTCAGTGAGTTTGTTACTTGTATGTAGGAATGCTATTGATTTTTGAGTAGTGACTCTGTATACTGCTATGTTATCAAATTTGGTTATTAATTCTAGGAGTCTTGTTGGAGTTTTTGGGGTCTTCTATGTTGAGTAACATGTCATCAGCAAATAATGATAATTCAACTTCCTCCTTTCCTATTCATATTCCTTTTATTTCTTTCACTGATCTAACTGCTCTGGCCAATGTTTTCAGAGCTACACTGAACAGGAGAGATGATAGTGAGCATCCTTGTCTTATAGTGGCAAAACAACTTCACTGGGAAAAAGAAAGCATTGTTAATAAATAGCTCTGGGAAAACTGGTTTTCCATACTCTGAAGATTAAACCTAGATCCGTATGTGTCATAGTGCACTAAACTAAAATCCAAATGGATCAAAGATCTAACTATTAAAATAGAAAACAATGTGGTACAAGAATGAACAGGTAAAACTCTTGGAAGAGACAGGTGTAGGCAAAGACTTTCTCAACAGAACCTTGGATGTACAACTAGTAATACCATGAATCAACAAATGGGATTACATCAAATCAAAAAGCTTCTGAACAACAAAAGAAACCACTAACAGAGTCAACAGAAAACCTACAGAATGGAAAAGCTTTCAGCACATACTCCTTAGACAAGACTAGTATCCAAATTATATAAAGAACTCTAAAAGATCAGACCCCCAAATTTAAAGACCCTATCAAAAAATGGACATCTGAAATAGAAACTTCTCCAGTAAAGTACAAATAGCCAATACATACATGAAAAAATGTACAACATTGGCCACTTGAGAAATACAAATTAAAACATCACTCAGATTGGCTATTATCATGAAATCAAACAATAACAATTGCTGGAAGAGCTGCAGGGGGTAGGAGGAGAGAAGGAACTCTCTTTGTTGTCAATGTAAGCTAGTATAAGCACTACGGAAATGACAGCAGAAATTCCTCAAAAAACTAAAAAATAGTAATTCCATTTCACCCAGCTAATCTCTTTCTAGGTATCTTCTCAAAAACAACATCATACTACATAAGTATGCAAGCTTATATTTATAGCAGCACAATTCATGATAGCTACATCTTGGAAATCATCATATGCTCATCAACAGATGAATGGATAAAGAAAATGTGGACTATAATGGAGTATTACTGTCCCTTACAGAAAGAAACTTTAAAGACATTTTTTGGTAAATAGATGCATCTTGAGATTAATTTTAAATGAATAAATTAGACACATAAGTTCAAACATCATGTTATTTTCCTTGTGTATGAAACCCAAAAGATAAAGAGCAAAATTGAGGACAGAAGTAGGTAGGACTTGTTCAAATGGAAGGGGAACTAGTGAGGGGAGAAGAGAAAAAAGGCAAAAGCAATTTTAAAAAAGAAACTGAAATGAAAGATGAAAACAATTTTTGCAAATGGAGAGGAATGAAGGGAGGAGAGGAAGATGGGGGAATAATTAAGATATATAATGGAGGAATACAAATTTCCCATGATGTGATCATTACGTGTGGAAAACATGTACTACTACTACTAATAAAAAAAGGAATGCAGAAAAAAAGGAAGATACATGGAAGACTCATTCTGGAGGGCAATTACATAAGGAGTGCTAGGTGGCTGGGAGGAGTGAAGAAGTGAAAGAGATGGCCTTGTAATCTTAGGCTGGTGCTGGAGCAATGGCAGGGCCACTAACAGGGACTGGGTACCATCTTTTGTTGGTTGTTTAGTAGCTACCAAGAACACTGTCAACCCATTTAATATAAAACACATACACACAAGGAGGAAACACATGCGGCATAGGAGATCTAGATATTTTTTTTTTTTTTGTTTTTTGTTCCTCGAATGCCTTAAGGGCACTTTGGCCAGCTGGAGAGGTGTGAGGTTTGAACTCCAGCAACCTGAGGCTGACAACTTTGTGGAAGCAGCCACTTAAAGGCCTGAGCTACGGCCAGGCCCCCGAGATCTAGATATTTTGATCGGACGTAATAAAATGTTTAAATGAAGACAGCTAGAAAGAAGGGTTTGGTATTTAGGAAAAAAAGGTGAAAGTCTACATCTAGTTTGGGAATCATTTGTACAGAAATAACATCTGATAACATTTTAAGCTCCTGAAATCTTACTTTCTCCCAATATTAAATTAATGTCAAAAGAAATATAAACCACCATGATTGGGTATCTGTTCCCTTAAACTTAGTGCTGAGTGGCCTGTAGACAGCACAGCGAGTGAGCAATGAAATCAGGGCACTTTCCAGAAATATAGTAAGTTATTTGGCTGAAAGAAGCTATTATTATCATTTTTTAAAGTGATGGGTAAACCACTCGAATTCCAGCCACGTGCAACTTTTTATTTTAAGCAGATCTTTCACTAGGGAAGTAATCTCTAGGATTTAAAAAACAAAACAACTTCTTATACTCACTAAATCATCTCAGTAAAATGTTAGCTAAATATTTTCTAAATAGAACTTAAAATACTTGAATACAAATTTATTAAGCATAATCTGCTTTATGCCACGTGCTGTAAGTAGATGACATGCATTAACTTAATGTTTACAACACTTTCTAATTTAAAAATAAGTGTATCTGGGCCCAAGAGTCTGTCCTGTACTACAAACTCTGTAGCTTATATTTACTTTTATCACATTTTGATTTCCTTGAGTTTTGCAAGACATTTTGCATTCTGTTAAATGTCAAATTTGACTGGCATAAGAGCTGTATATTTCTTTGTGAATCATAACCCGATTGCTTTGATTTTAAGGGTAACAACAGCATATTTTCTTTTCTAGTTAAGTAAGGAAATAAAGCAAAAATCAATCAAAATAGAAAACTAATCAATCAAGCAAAGTCAATGAACCAAACAACAAAGCCAACCTGCTAATTTTTTGCTCTAATGGATTTTGCTCTAATGAATCATATAATTGCTTTCTCAGCTTTAGTAAAGAAGTTTAATTATCTGGATAACAACAGATACATAAGGTGATGGCAGTCAACCCGACACTAAAATGGAGCAAAATAGGTATCAGATATTTATTTAATTAATTTATTTATTTTTTTCCCTCCATAGGTATCAGATATTTAATTCTTTTTCTTTTTTTGGCAGAACCGGGATTGAACTCAGGCCCTTGTGCTTGCCAGGGAAGCACTTATTCCACTAAGCCATCTCCCCAGCCCCTAATTTTTTGTTTGCTTGTTTTTGGCACTGAGGCTCAAACTCAGGACCTGGGGCTTTCCAGACAGGCACTTACGCCTCTGAGCTATCACCCCAACCTCAGATCTTTAGTTGTAAAAGAATCAATTTGTTATTTCAAATATCTGTGTATTAATTTAAAAAATAAACCATGTAGTGGTTAAGAGTACCTATGACTACTATTTGCAATTAAGAATTATTTGCAATTAAAATAAACATCTACAAAGGAAACAATGAGGGCTGGAGAGGAGTATGGTGGAAAATAGTTGACAGAACACCTAAAAAAATAACGAAAATGGTCAGTTTTCATACTTCCAAAGGTGTGAATTTGAATACCAGAACTCAGTCACACAAGAGTATTTTTTGAAATAAGTAACATGGGAATCAGAAATCTTCTAGTTTTATCTACTATTGTAAAATCTAGCTAAGCAGATTTTTCAACCAAATTTATTTATTTATTTATTTATTTAATTATTATTATTATTTTTTTGGCGGAACCGGAGATTGAACTCAGGCTCTTGCACTTGCCAGGCAAGCACTTATTCTACTGAGCCAACTCCTCAGCCCCCCAAATTTATTTTTGTATGTGTGATTATTTTAGAATTTTCATTTGAGAGCTGTTTTCGTACACGTAGGTTTTGTTGATAGCTAGACAATTAGTTTAACTACCTAGTTAAATTAAGCAAGCTACTAAAATATATTATAAAATTAGAAAATATTTAAAGAAGTGAGGAAGGACCCATTTGTACCTTACTATATTTTGTTGCATATTCTCAACCTTCATTAAAATCTGGATGCTGGTCTGAGAGTGAATGTAGACTTTCAATCTGAAATAAAAGCACCATAATGAAGGAAGCAATATTGATTCTTAGTATATTTGAAGATAGCCTTATAAACAGCAAGCATTTATAACCAACTAATAAAACATGTATCTACACAAGAATTGAAAAGGTAAAGATATTTTCTAAGCAAGGATCTGAAAAAGATACACGTTTCTTAATTTTGCTGATCTTAAAAAAAAAAAACCACACAACTATTCCAGCAAATTAATCAACATTCTTACATATTTATTTAAAAAATGCAGCCAAATTAGTGACTGTGATTTTGTCTTCCTGCCAGGTATATGACTAATGATAACACTAAGATTATCAGTTGGAAGGAAAGAAAGTCAATTATCACAAAGGTTTGGATCAGTCTAGGCAATACTGCTTCTAAAACGTTGAAATATGAGATTTAACTAGAACTGGAAAAGACATTTTAGAATCCACAGAGCTTAAATTTTAAACACCAGGTTACTCTGAAAGCAAACTAAACATTCATAGCCTTAGTAAGTACCATTGGTGGAAATGCAGTAGAGTCAACTGGGTTGTTTCTAGGAACACTAATAACTCATACCCCAATCTCTTTTTTTGAGCACTGCCTACTATCTACTGCCTTGCATTAGGAACTTTTAATGTGCTACTTCTCTTAAACTTCAAATCAACTCTATCTAGTAGGTACTGTCATTCAATTTCACTAGTGGAACTATTAAAGGTCAGGAAGTCAAGTAATTTATTTTTGATCAAATCGTTAATAAGGGACAGAACTAGCTATTTTAACTCATAAATCCATGACTGAAATTTTCCACTATGCTATATTAACCACTTTTGTCCGTGTTGTATTTCTGGACAGGAGGTACAATGTACCTTACTTAGTTCTATGAAGACTTGGCTGAAATAGGATTTCCTGTCTTTAACAGCTACTTGGAAAGTCTTACTTTCCAGTTTTTAGTTCAACTTGAAAGGCAGCTTAGTTTAAGGGTTAAGAGTGCGAACTCTGACTCTAGACTGCTTGGGTTGGAATCCCAACTTTCTTTTTTATGAGTTATGAGGTTACTTAAACACATCAAAGGTCAGTTTCCACATCTGTAACATGGGTATAATATTAGTCTACTATACTGTTGGAATGTGGATTAAATGAATTAGTATTGCTTTCCATAATAAATATGTACCTAAAAATACTTCAACATTTTAATTACAAATTCAGATAGTTACAAGATTTTTGAAACATACCTTTGACGAATTACAGGATCAGACTTTTCAGGATCAATATAAGGTTTTAGAATTTCATTTATAGTTTTATCATCTGGTACTCTTTCAAACAGAGAAAAAAGATTATTTTATTTATATTGTATATTCCTTCTAGAATTCTTCTGAACTATTTATATTGTGCTACTAAAGATATTAACTTAGAATTATTAAATGTTGTAGCTTTTTTGATTTAAATAACTGAACAAGCATCTCTTACTTTTTTTTTTTTTTTTTTTTTGGAACTGGGGATTGAACTCAGGCCCCTGCACTTGCCAGGCAAGCGCTTATTCCACTGAGTCATCTCCCTGGCCCCAGGGATCTCTTACTTTACTCTTGTTAAAATATAACATCCTTTCAAGCAAAAATTACGTAGGAAAAAAATTCAAAAACATTTTGAAAAGTCTGCATAAATCAGCTATAAAAAATATGAAGCCCCTTTCAACATACATCTGTGCTCAAACATGAAGAGGATATGATGAAATGTATTTGAAATGTGTAAAAACAAAACACAATCTGAAGAAAGGTTTCAGATGATGCTAATTTTAATGTGTGTTCAAGTTTATTCATTCTAAATCATAATAACAGGTTAAAGAGTTGACACTAATTTCCCTGGAAACAAAGTATTTAAAGCTTTTCAACTTTGTTTTATGTATGAACAGTGTTTTAATATATAGCTATATGAATAAATTAAAGACCATTTTAAAATAACTTTGCTCAATCATTTATGCATATTAGTTTATACTACTAGCTACATAGCCCTATCTAGAAAATAATTCCTGTTTCCAGTTTGGTATCAATTTCAGTTAACCAAGTTCTTCACTAAAACTCATAGACCAATTACAAAAATAGGACAGCACCTATAATGTGGACATACTTTATGCTAAATGCATTAATTAGTAATTTAAATTTTCTCCAACTCAAAGACTCAAAGGTCATTAAACTTTTTTTTTTTTTCAGTAAAAGAAATAAATTTTTTTTTCTTTTGGTGGAACCAGGGATTGATCTCAAGCCCTTGCGCTTGTCAGGGAAGTGCTTAATCTACTGAGCCATCTCCCAAGCCCCTCATTAAACTTTTTAAACAATACTTGATAATGTTCATAATATGCAAGACAATAAACTATGCAAATTAATTCTTATATAGAAAATAATGTATTTTTCAATGAACATAGTACCATGTTAACAGTAGAAACTTATAAACAGACTCTGGGTAACTTTTCATTTCCTTTACAACTCCTTAGCCAAAAAACAAGGGTTTCAGCTAATTTTTCTTATATCCTTCTTCTTAATATGTGCTCCCCCTGTGCAAGTAATTACTGTCATGATTTTTCAGTTAATCATTTTCCCTACCTTTGTAGGCACTTCCAAAAAGTACACTAGGTTTGGGAGGTTTATTTTTCTTTTCATATTTAAAAAGTCATATTGTCTGCTTTCATTTCACATTTATTTTATTATTTATGTGAGTCACTGATAAGCCTAACTGTAGTTCATCTATTTTCAACACTGCTTAGTTTTTGTGTTGACTGTAATTGCAATTTACTCTACCACTGACATACATTAAGTTCAGTTTAATTACAGAGCCTTCAAATAAAAATAATCAGTTCTAAAAAGACAGTGGTGATACTATACCTCTTTTCTATGTACTCTGCTTGACTTTGAGGAAACTGCAGCTTCACGTGCCAACAAAACTGTTGTTTTCTAAAAGTGAAAATATGTGAAAATCAAGGTTGATAATAAACATTTGAATAAAAATCAAACTTCCTAAATTCTCATTAGTAATTCTGAAGTTAGATTTGAAAATATTTTTTCATTAAGAGCTATTTATTTTTCTGCAGGATTTTGAAGCTATGCTTTTGGAACAATATCATATTTGCAAAGTTTTAAGAGAAAAAAAAATGTGAGGCATTTCTGAATTACAAGGACTTTACATTCCTGAATTAGATGAGAATTTCTCAAAGTCCTAGGGCTTTTGAGATCAATGTGCTACTACTTGAAATTTACAAATAAATTTCCTCATGATTAAATACAATGAGCTGATGTCTTTGCCTCACTAGTGTGGAAATTAGGTGAAGTATTGTCCAGTTGAGTCCAGCTGGCTACAGACATACTTCTGAGGCATGAGTACGTGCATGCAGTAGCAAAACAGTAGACAACAAGCTGGTTGCTAAGCAAAATCCACTCCGAGCTAAACTCCTTTGCTTTGAGGTCTAAACTTTGGTTTGATATAGAATCAACAGTAACAGTTCATTAAATGTTTGATTTTAGAAAAATGACAACATGTCCTATTTAACATTTAAATTTATTCAGATTAGATAATATTTCCTTAAAAAATATAACTTTTAAAATATTCAATCACTACAGATACTTAAATATCTTCACTACATGATGGGTTTTATACAATGTTTTCCTGTCTTTGAAGAAATTTCTAACAACCTGAAATGGTTGGCAGCAATTCCTCCAAGCAATGATTGCTATCTTTTAGAAACCTACCCTATGTGCTCTAAACTTAAAATAATTCTCTTACAAGGTAACTCAGTAGTCTTATCTTCCAACATTTATTTAATTTAGTCAATATTTTTATTAGAAGATAATGACCATAAACCCAAGTAAAATTGTTTTCATTAGGTTATCACATACCAGAATAATTTTCTTCAACAGGGAGTTAGTTTTTGAAAAAAGCTAGAGAGAAATATGATTAATTATGCTTATGTTGACAGTGCCACTTACAGAAGAAATATTTAAAAAATAAAAGCCAAAAAGTACCCTATACTAAAGACTAGATGTCTAAAGTCTTAAAGGAAAAGAACTTAAAACTTGTTTTGATTTCAAGTCAGTTAGTAGTTTTCAGTACATAATTCTTCCAAAGTGAAACACCAAGCAATGCTCTTTATCAGTAAAACAGGCATATAGCATAATTCCACTAGACAAAACCAAAAGATGCCATATTTCTCTTTTTATAAAGAAATAAGATGATTTGTTATCTTATTGTAAAAAATATTTTCTGAAAAATATGTTGGGCTGGGGAGCTACCTCAGTGTCTAGGCGCTTGCCTGGCAAGTGCAAGGACCTGAGTTTGATCATCGAACAGCACCCTGTGCCACCCTGGAAACCCAGGTGCGCTGTCCCAGCCCTAAAACCTGGCATGGTGGCACACACCTGTAATCCCAGCGCTGGCGAGGCTGAGACAGGAGGACTACTATGAGCTGAGCTGCGTAGAGAGACCCTGTACAAAAAAAAAAAGAAAAAAAGAAAGAAAGAAAGAAAGAAAGAAAATAAATCCTATACAAAATATATTTATTTTCTCATGTTAACTTACAGGGGGGAGAAAGGAGCCTAATGTGTTCACCTTCCAGAACTGTAAATCTTAATCCTCTCTTGTCACTGCTTGAGTAATTTCAAGAACCATTCACCTTTCTTAACATATAAAAGACCCTGAATACCTTTGGAAGGCACTTAATATTTCAAACAAGGCGAGGGGGGAGAGAAAGCTCTTGCAAATAATTTTTTTCCTGTTCTTAACTAGTTGTGATTATAATGAAGTTATTTATTATTTTATTATATGTTATTATAAAAATCTTTCTATACTTAGACTCAGTCCAAAAATGAACAAATTTCAAGTTTATTTACTTTTAAAATGTTATCTTGCAATATTTCAAAAACAATGTGATAGAGTATTCACTGTTCTCAGATTTAATCCATTTTCATATTACCATATTTTTGAGACACACTTTTTTTCTAGAAAATAAAAATTTATTCATAGAGTGGATGCACATTCATCCAAGATAAGGAATGGGAAGTGAATGGGTATTTATAAAGATCTGCTAAAATGAGTTAGTTTTCTGTAAAGTAGTTTCCAATTCTTTAATGTTTTTGAAATTCAGAACAAGTTTTGACATAGGCAATCAAATCTCTTCTTGAGACTTATAGAGATAAATTTCCCATATTCCAAAAGTATATACCATAACATATGTCCTACTTAAAAAAACTATACATTTCCACCCAAATCCCAGAAATATTACCTGGATTATTTTTTACAGGTTGAGTCTAAGTACAGTCATTAGGACAGCTCAACGTTTCTGAATCTCAGTAGTACAGGTAACTCTTATTAGGGGAGGCTCACCTTAATAACATCATAGGCTGCCCTAAGCCCTGCAGGGTATTTAAGCACATCCTGGGCCTCCATCCATTAACAACCCTCTCCCAGCTCTGACAACTAAAAAGGCTCCCAGACACTGCAAATGTTTCCTGAGGAGGTAAAATCACTGTTTGAAAACCACATTAGAGGTCTAAACATTTAATATTACCTCTAATGCTATTATTTCATAAATTCAACAAATACTATCAACTAATATCATTGGGCCTTTGGGATGTCAACTTTCTAAAGAATATACTGTGCCTAGAATATTCTAGATAACTAGGCACTCAAAGGCATATGCTTAGCTTGCAAACAGACTGATGAAATAATGGTAGCAATTATTATAACTGACAAAGTAATAGAAACATTGAATCCTTGAGTCTCTTAAAATCTAAAATCCCTTAAAAGCAAAGCTTTTCCCCAAGTATCAATACAAAGATGCTTGTGCTTGCACACACAAAGGACATACCCTTAATGGGGGCAGTACAACCCTCATAGGGGAAAAACCTGGTTTTCTAAACAGTCAACAAAATCTCAGATATTACGATGTCAAAATACTGCAGGGGAGACAATTAGGAAAATGTTTCAAAGGGCACCTGGAAAGTGATAATGAAAAAGTGAGAAAGAGATGGCGCGTATATTAAATGAACAGAATAAATAGTATTTTATACCCAACTTGAAGTGAATTACACAGGGTACTTACCAACCCTTGCTTACTAGAAACTGTTAAGGATATTTCGCAGTTTCAAGTGTTTCTGGATGAAGGCATATTTGGGCAGAGGGGTCCTATGCACATATATTAAATTATTCCTGATTTTATGACTTAAAATTGCCATTTTCAATATCAGAAACACTATCAGTTCTCTTAATGAATAGAGCGATTTGTTCTAATGGTGTTTGTAAATGGGATATCATGTCTGCATCTTGTACAGCAATTAACCACTGGGAAGAATGTATGCAGTGTGTGAATTACTGAAACTGTCCTACCAATTTGATTTGAAACTGTCTCATTGCTATTTGCTTATCAATAAAATTACGGGAAAAAAAGAAAAGTACATGACAAATACAAAAAAAAGAAGAAACACTATCAGAATCCCATGAAAAATGAAAGTAGAAAGCCAGTCAGCTGTTTTCAAATGGTACTGGTATCACATGTTCAAATTCATTAAAAAAAGAAATGAACTAGTACCTATTAGATCTGTAGAGATGTTTTAAAACATACAAATATTAAGGCAATGTGGCAAGGAGAAAACATAATATAAGCTTCTAGCAGTTTAATTTCATAAAAGCTATACATAAAAATTCATAATTAAAAGAGTACATATTTTCACCTCAACAATTTTATTTCCAACCATTTTTCCTACAGAAACTGGGATAGTAATAACATATATACAAAATGCACACTGCAATACATTTTGTAATAGGAAAAAAATTATAAAAATCCTAAATATATATCATTAAAAAGTCAGTTAAGGGAACCATTATGTAGTTATTATATTAAACAACTATACAAAAAAGCAGAACTACAATAATGTCATTGCGTCCCACACACCTTTGTCAAGAATGGAAATACTTCCAACTAATTCTTAAAAAGTTCCTAGATATTGTCAATGTCCCTGAGGGGTAGAAATTACTGTTTGAAAAACACTGGGGTAGAAGTTTAAATATTGAATAATTACTATGAAGACAACAATATGCAATGTATTAATTATTGTAACTGTCATACTCACCTGTTCTGAAACTGTTCCCTTACTATTTTATTTTTCTCATTAATATGAATAAAAGATAAATTTAAAAAAAATTTAAATATTTATTATTTTTAATGCATCACTATTACTAGTAATACTATACACTGATGTTATATGCACTGACACAGAAAAGTGTGCATGTTTAATTACAGTATCTACATTTAATTACAGTATCTACATTTAAAAAAGTTCTATATCATATACTTAGAAGTATGAAAATATGTCCCAAACTTTTACTTAAGGTCATTTCTTGGCACAGTAAGAAAGATTTCTCATTGAAGAATATGTACACATTAAATGACTTCCACATAATGACTTGTTGGTTTTTTATTTTACTTTATTGAGAAACAAATAGCAATGAGATAGTTTCAAAACTGATTAATAGGACAGTTTCAATAATTAATACATTGTACATTGTTATCTTCTTAGTGGTTATCCATAGTACAAGAAGCAGACAGGATATCCTGTCCAAACACTGTTAGTACAAATCTTTCTTCTCATTGAATTAAGTGAAAATAGTTTTTATAATCTGCAAAGTTGTTTTTCATGGTGAAAGACATGCTATAAAAAATAACTCTAACACTTTTTCTAAACTTAAACGTATTTCCTTATAAGCATAAGTATGTCCCCTTTGTTCTTTAGAAACTATTACCTAGCAGGAATTGGGGTTACATGCCCAGTTATTTTGATAGCTTTAAAAGTATCTAAGAAACAGGCCCCAGTTATGAGTTACATAATTCTCAGAACTAAAATTTCTAAGATAAGGATGAAAAAAGCTCAAATATTCTTTTTCTTAAAAACAAACAACAAAAAAC